CACCCATACACTCTCACATTCATACACACACATACACACACTCACACACTATACAGCCAATTTAGTTAATTCAATTAACTTATACTGCATGTATTTGGACTATGGGGCAACTGGAGCAGCCAGAAGAAAACCCACAAGAACATACAAACTCCACACAGATATGCCCCCTGGCCCAGCCGGTACTTGAATGCCAAACACCAGGGCTGCATCCGAAACCGCATACTTCCTATATGGTACGCTAAAATCAGTATGCGAGCCGAGTAGTATGTCCGAATTCATAGAATTCAAAAATCAGTATGCGAGAAGTACCCGGATGACTTGCTACTTCCGGCGAGATTCTGGAGTGTGCATCCCATGCATGCTGCGCTATCCCATCATCATGAGAGTAAAGCGACGCAACTGACGCAGGTAGGTCACGCGACTATGACCAAATGGCGGATGTAGTACGTCCGAATTCCATTCATACTTTTCACATTCATACTGTTTAGAACGTACTTTTCTAACGGCTGAGTAGTACGTTTAAATACTGAGTAGTAGGCGGTTTCGGACGCAGCCCAGTTATCCTCAACAACTTAAGGTTGAAGTTGAATCTATTAAAATATGTGAACACTCTGATCAGTAGAGATGCCAAACAAATACCATTCAGTTGGAGGATGTGTTGAATAAATCTCTTAAGGGAAATTATTGTTTTCAGAAAAGTATTTGTGGTATTTAGTTTCATCTTGCCTCTGAATGATGCATATTAATGCATTTTATTATTAAAGTGTTCATTAATTCATTTTTTATGGAAAGATGAATGAATCTTTTATTTATTTAACTTGATTTGGAGTTTGTTTTAGATTTTAAATTAAGTTTTGTTACAGTTCATTTTCAGAAAGTAATATGCAGCATTAGCCCAATAAAACAAATCGATTTTACATTATTCAGCCTTGTGTTTAAACCAAAATCCACTGCTGCCGAAAGATCAAGAACAAGAAAGATTCAGAGATCACATTTCATTGCAGAAGAGAACTGGAAAAAGGGACTGCATTCTTTTTGAGTCCACTATATTGTAAAAACTAGAAAGACCAAGATCACTAACGGCTGGTTCACGCCACATCTTAATGAGAACTAGGGCTGCACAATATGTTCTTTCAGCAATAATATTGAAATGTGCACATCCATAATAGTCACGTCGCAAGATATGCAATTTTGAGTCTGATATAAGTTGACCAGGAGCTACAGAATTGTATTTAACTACTGTATTTATGGGGAATTTATACAATTTAAAGAGTTCACACTTAGCTGATGATTGATTATAAAGCGTGTTTGGCATGCTGTCTCGGGAGAGAGCCCTGAGCTCATTAGATCCTCAAGCCAGAGGCTTCCTCCCGTTTGCAAGGCAAGAGGGGAGTTTGAGCTCAGCTAGATCTCGAGAACCCCCATGCTGTAGTAGTTAATGAACTGTTATTGCTCTTAAGAGATAGCTATTTACTAGAAGCATGTCTATGGTGCTGATGTGGATTAGTCAATTAACTTAAGTTGCATGTTTTGGACAGTGGGAGAAAACCGGGAAACTCAGAGGACCATTGTTTGCATGTCTCTCTATAGGCAGCTTTTCCAGCGTTCTACATCTCAGATAATGAACTCGCAAACGATAAGTGAACTATTCATATTACTTGCACATGCATATTCCGAATATATGTGAAAGACGTCGTGTAACGCGTTGAGTTAAAAAAATACAGAAGAGCTTGCCTAATTCAAGAGTTCACACCTAGCTGATGATTGATTATAAGCAAGTTTGGCATGCTGTCCCGGGAGAGAGCCCTGAGCTCGAAGGTTCTTGAGCCCTGGGCTCCCTCCCGTTTGGAGGAAGAGAGGGGAGCCTTGAGCTCAGGTAGATCTCGACAACCCCCCCTTGATAAGAGCTGATGACTAAAAATGGAATGCTATTAAAATATATTCTGCATTATGAGATTACCTGTATTGCAAATTTAGATTTATCAATTTACTTGTTGTGCATGTTTTTGGAATGTGGGAGGAAACCGGAGAACCCGGGGAAAACCCACGCAAGCACAGGAAGAACATGCAAACTACACACAGAAACGACCACCAGCCTGTTAAAGGACTAGAACCGGTGACGTTCTTGCTCTGAGGCGACAGTGCTAGACACTGGGCCACCGTGCTGCCCTATGGAGGGAAAGGTGAAAAGGTAGGGGTGGAAGGGGGGATTGTTCAAATCGAAGATGACTGTAGTGAAAAAACCCTGGCTCTTTATAGTGGGTTAGGAATGGCCTGATTGGTGGATCATGCATGCTAATGCAGAACCAGCCGTGTTCAATCACAATCACGTGCTCCTCTCGAAATTAGTTTATGAATAAACTTCACCTTGTGTAGCAGCAGAAAAAGCAAGCAAGGCTCACACAGGACATCCTACATCTTGTGCTGTATTCTTCTGTCAACAGTGTCACTGTATATTACAGAAAATAACTTAATCCGAGCATCAGAGAAGAAGAAAAAAAAAAACTTCGGTTCCGCGCACATGCACTTCTCGTGTTACAAGCGTCTACAGACAGTTCACACACACACACACACACACACACACACACACACACACACACACACACGCGCACGCACGCACGCACGCACGCACGCACGCACGCACGCACGCACGCACGCACACACAATTTCTCTTAGAACTGGGCTTAACTAGTTATGACATAGAACTTGATTAATCCAGAAACAATAAAGAAAACTTGAAGGATTGAACCAGCATTTTACCTTTAAGCATTTAGCAAATGCTTTTATCCAAATAGAACACACTGCCCTGCTCAAGGGAATCACCTCAGCCATAGTATTGAGGATGGAGGAGCGTGCTGGTCCTGCTGGTGCTAGGACTCAAACCTGCAACCTGCAACCTTTGGTTCAGTTCAACTCACTAACCATTAGGCCAGCTGCCCTCTTCAGCAACCAGCTCTGGGTCAAGAAATCTCAAAGTTTGGGTGAGTGGACTGAGGGTGCTGGTAGTGTAAGGTTCCTCTTTCTCTTACCAATAGCACCCAATCTATATATAATTAATGAATTTCCTTCTTGGGCCTTATCCAAGCATGTGCCTTTGTTTTAAGAATTCAGTCATGTCTAAAAAACACACAGAGGCTAGCTTTACTGTATGTGGAGGACATCTTAAAACCTCTATGTCTCTCCTCAAGGGACCATCCCGACTGGGAAATGTGAATGATTTGAATGGCTGCCAAACAGGTTAATAAATCCAACCAGTAGATTGCCACAACATGATTGAACAAAAAAGTGGATGCTTTACAAATAAGAGCAACAAAACAGTGCACACAACACAATGGTGGACAGAGCAAACTATTGATTTAATCTAAGAAGCAGATGTGGGAGATCAAAGCAAACAACAAGTAACCATAAAAATAAATGCTGATAGGAAAGTGAACAGGATAACACAAGATTGGGGTATAATAAAAATCAACAACAAATGCAATTGACTAATAATAAAACAGGCAGCACCCATTAATCAGTACTTCATAATAATAATAATAATAAAAAAAATTAAATCAGCTATCATGATAACCTGCAATAAGAGTATAAAATTGATAACTGCCAGCATTTTTCTCTGTGGAAGGACCAAGAAACAAACTTTGTTCTTTGCCTCAGTACCCAGTCATTGAAAAACTTTTTAAATATATTGTTAAAGTCAACTCAGGCACATTTTAAAAAAGGTACCCCTATATACATTTCTAGAGACCATCAAATATGTCCCAGGAGCTACATTTTTTGCAGTTTTTGATTTTACAAATCCCAAGAGGCCGCTGTGGACGCTTTTTCAGATCGCCAATTTCTTTTGCGAGTGTCAATGCTGCCTGCTGTTCTCTCATAAATCCACCAGATGTCACTGTCGACTGACTGTTTGACTGACTGACTGACCAATCGACTGACCCACCCTCCCCTTCCCTAAACCCAATCAATAGTATTTTAAAAAGCACAGACTGACCTACCTATCAATTTCCCTAACCTTAACCAACAGTTTTAAAAAGTAATTAAAAAAAAAAAAAGCTCTTGTTTGATTTTTACTACATTCTCACCCTGTTATTTACTTGTTTATTTTATTTTTTGGCTTCTGTTTTTGTCTTACCTGCTTTCTGGAACCAATTTTCACCGGACTCAAACCCTATCGTTGTGGTCATCTCTCTGCATCACAAGTCCTCTGACGTACTTGGCAAGCTAACTGGACAAACTGGTAACAGCCGTCCATACAGAGGTAAGCGATCAGCAGGTAAGCTCGAAAAGAAAAGGCGCCATACTACCCCATACCCTAGTAGCAAAGAATTCTGGCCCAGATTTGGCATAAAGCTGGGAGAGTAGGCATTCATCTGTCACTGGCATACAGCATGTGGGCCAAACATGGCCCGGGTTTGGCAGAGGTGGCACCGTCTTTAAGGCGGCACACAAGATTTGGGCCAGATGTAAAACTTTGTATTTAGCCCAGATTTTAAAAATTGATATGTGGGCCATGTGAGTTTGGACAGTCTTGACCCATATTTAAAATGCATTAAAATAATTTTTGAGTAAAGAAAAAATTTCTATCAATCAGGTCACTTTGAGAAAAAGCATGCTATGTAGGTTGTGCTCTTTTAAAAAATAAAATGCAGCCATACGTACTTCTGGCTACATAATTCATGATCTCCAGAAGTGTAAATAGAGATTTTTTTTCAGAATGAGCCTTTAAGCAACATTTAAGAATGTTGGTTAAAGTAGATGTGTTCCAAAAGAAGCATTAATACATTTCTGAAATGATTATGCTTTGTCTACTTACAGATCTTTAACAAGAAAGTCCATCACTAGGCATTGATTCTCACAAAACAAAAAAAAATCTCCCTTTATTGCATAAGTGCTGGTTTTAGGTTTGTATATCCATTTTAAAATTATGGGATACATGACAGGCAGCAAGAGAGACAAGTCAGAAGAGAAACTTGCATGCGAATGTAATCATGAAAGCTTACTTTTGACAGTGGTTTTGGCTTCTTGGTGGCCATTCCTCCAATCATGACCATGTTAGGCATCAATGGTCTTGGAAATTCAAAGGCAAAGTCAAAACGCATTAGCCAAAGAGTTGCACGGTTCATGATCTCCACTATAGATGCTCTTCTCTGCAGGAAACGTGAGGCTATCTCATCTGCTTCAGCATACATGTATCTACAAGCCATGTGCTGAAGAAGAGTCCTTACCAGGTTGATACACCTCTGCCAAATATTCATCTGGTCGGTAAAGTGGGTATTACGTTGTGGAACATAAGAGGGTGGACTTGGGCATTGGCTTGCAAGACTATCAACACCACAAGGAAGGTTTACTTGCATATAAATAGCTGGAATAGAGAGATATTCACTAGCAATAACCCCAACAGGCTCAAACGGATCAGTGAGAATTGCATCAAATCTGCAGTCTTGAAGCTTCTTCATCAAGTCCTCGTTAAAGAGCAGACCTTCAGCGTTCCTCACGATGAAATTTTGAAGAACTTTCAGTTGAAGGAAGAAAACAAAAAACTTGGAAACTTCAGTGGAAAAGTCAGTACTCAAAATCTCAGTTAAGTTGCCCTCTAATACCATATGTAGTTCAGCCTTTGTGTAGTTCACTGGATATGTCAGGGTGGTGGTTTTCTCTGAAGGACCCATACTCAGACTTGCTTCTGGTATGACAACCACCACCTGGTTTCCTCTTCTCCCCAGTTCCTCCACAACAGGCTTCATTCCTAACCAGTGACTGCCATCTGATGGAATAACTAACAGTTTCCCAGCTTCAGCTGAACCAAGGAGGAACAGACCCACGAGCAACCACAAGCAAGCCATCTCATCAAAGGTGAATAAAAATCTCTCGCTGTGACCTTTGCCAGCTTAAAGCGAGGATAACATGAAACAAGCCGGTTTTGTGAAGCTTGAAAATTTCACAACTACCCTGATTTATGCTCAGAAGAGGGGGAGATCTTTGCAGTGGGGTGGGACTTTATCTATACAAGGCAATGAAGCAATCAACTGGGGTGAAAGTCTAGAATATGCTAAGCCACAGACAACTGAAATAAATGTAAAAAGATGTAAATCTTTTTTAATGATTTTTTTTTACTGTGCACAATTTATAGACAATGTATGCTCTGGAAAACTGAAACACTCAAGATAAGCATGACATTTAATTTAAGGACTTTATTTAAATGATATTTATTTATATTTGAATGAAATTTATTATTTACTTATTATTTATTATATAAATACTTTTTAAATATAGTAATGGTTCTTTATTGGCATTGCAGCCTGCATAAAGTATGTTTTAACAAATATGCTACAATTCCAATTTACTATGTCGTTACTATGTTCTAATTTTAAAATGTCATTCACACTAAAAATAAAAATGGTACATTCACAGAAATGTTCTTTGTGGAAATAAAAATGGATTATCTTTGGTTTCATTACAAAAAAAAAAAAAAAAAAAAACCTGCCTTTAAATACTGGCTTGTTACCTACGTGTGATAAAAGAGGTAAAAGCAGTTTTGACAGTTAATTGTGACGATTTCTGGCATAATAACTGACAAAGGTATGCAATAACTACCAGTCCAGCACTATGCATGGCTTGGTTTCCAACAAGTAGACTGCCATCTGTAGGAACCTCTTTGCAAATACATCAGCTCTTGAAAAAGACACTGCTTATAAACTACATTTGACCAAAAAATAGTTTTAAATGTTATTAATAACAATTACGAACAATTACAAATAATAATAATAATAATAATAATAATAATAATAATAATAATAATAATAATAATAATAATAATAATAATAATAATTGGATGTTATACATTTTGTTCATTGTTTTGGTACTATTGGTAAAAGATTTTCAAGTTTTTTTCTCTTAGTAAAAAAACTTTAAACTGATCACAATTGTAGCACTACTACTAATTATTTTAAAATCAGATGTCATGATTTCATTGTAGCTGCACATATTTTCATTCCACATAATCATTGCTTCAAAACACAACATTGTCGTGATATGTATTGTGAACAATTGGTTTAATTAATAAACACAACAATACGATCTTTTTAAAATTTAGTCCATGGTTATTTTAACAGTTCACAGCAAACAATTCAAGAGGACAGCTGTTTAAATAGTACTGTAATGTAAATCTGTACAAAGACATTTCAGCAAATGTTACACTTATGTTTAGAAAAAAAATAGGATATTAAAAATATTTTATACAACATGACAATGTGATCAAAGAAACTATCAGGTCATTCATATGCAAGCAAAAAAGTGTTTACGGTAGTAGTTAGTATTTCTTGATCGGAAGCTCTTGCAGCAGTTTCTAACTTAAAATGATCAGACAACTATCAAAACAAGTTGAAAATCTATGGACAAAATAAATGGTTCACTAATTAAACATTAGGATCGGTTGAATTAAATGTAAACAAATGTATGAAACTGAAGGATAAGTGATGCAGTTTGATAGTATTCACTTTAAGAAATGCAGTTACTGTGAATGAAACATTAACACGTGTAAATAGTATAGTTCACTTTTAGTTACATAGACCACTTTTTATGATCTGTTAGGGATAAAAAGACTTTTAGGAGTTTAAAAAAAATGTACCAACTGTTTGTGAAAACGGCACCAAATCAGTTTTAAAAAATGAAAAAGATTTGTGATGTTAAAGTGTGATAATAAAATTAGGTTTATGATGCTGCTTATTTCAATGCATATTTCATCAAACATGCCACTCTAGAACACTCTGTTAAAAAAAAAAAAAAAAAAAAGAAAGAAACTGGTTCATAGAGTTTTGTAGTGATAAAAGAGTGACAAAATTCCAGAAGTCAAACAAGTTGTTGATCCAACAACTTGATCTCAAAAAGATTTCCAATACTGCTGGGTGATCATCACGAATAAACCTACTACAAGCTTTTTGTTCAGTTGCATATTTCAGTGTCTACATAAAATGACTCTTATAAATGTGCTTTTCATTTCAACAGCAAATACTCTTTTTTTTTTCAAGAGAGACAGGTTTATCAATAGCAGTGGCGAAACAACAGCTGAAGACATACCTGTGACAAAGGTTCTGCTTTTCTGTTGTCCATTCCTCCGACTATGATCATGTTGGGCATTAATGGATGAGGAAATTCCAAAGCAAAGTCAGAATGCACAAACCAGAGAGCTGCACGGCCCATAATGTCCATTATAGATGTTTTTCTCTGAAGAACACGTGAAGCGATTTCATCTGCACGAGTGAACATCCGTCTGCAGGCCATGGGCTGAATAAGAGTCCTTACAAAGTTTACACTTCTTTGCCAGAGGTTCATGCGGTCAGAAAAGTGAGTTAAACGTTGTGGAACATAAGATGGAGGAGATGGGCATTGACTGGCAAGAGTGTCAGCACCACAAGGATGACTTGTCTGAATGTAAATGGTTGGAATTGAGAGATATTCTGCAGCAATGACTCCGACAGTCTCAAATGGATCCGTGAGAATGACATCAAAGTTGTAGTCTTGCAGTTTCTTCATCAAATCCTTGTTGAGGAGCAAACCCTCAACGTTACGTGTTATAAGATTACTAAGCAGATCCATGGTGTTGATGAAACTCTGAAACCTGGCCAGATCTGTAGATACATGAGTACTTATCAGATTAGTAACACTAGCACTGATATGATCCTGTATCTGAGCTTTGGTGTAGGGCACAGGATAAGTCAGAGTTGTGGTGTGCTGAGACGGACCCATACTCAGACTTGCTTCTGGGATGACGACCACCACTTGGTTTCCTCTACGGCCTAGCTCCTCCACCAATGGCTTAATACCCATCCAGTGGCTGCCATCTGAAGGAACTACTAAAATCTTCCCAGCCTTTGCTGATGCCAGGCAGAAAAGACAGAAGAGCAATACGGAAGCCATTTAACGATCCAAAAAAAAAAAAAAAAAACTGTCTTGTGTCTGCAAGCACTCATAGATTTGCAGTTTCTGGCACAGGCTTTTATACTAAAAGGGGAGTTTCAACAACTAACCAAAGGTTGAGCCTAAAAGGATTACAATCTCTATTCTTCAGCAGTGAAGCACAGCCTTCATGTCAGAGAAAGAAAACAATTCAAATCTCATAAATCAGTCAAGTTGCTGGATATTTCATTTAGTAAACTTCTTAAGTTAAATAAAATAAAGCTACACATATATGTGGTGGTGAATCATTCAAGAGAGAATCAAGAGAGAGAATTGTAATTGCAAAAAGAGAGCTAATAGAAACACTTTATGGTTAATGAAATTCATCTACTGCAATGAAATGTAAATATTTTAAAATGAAAGATTTTTTCCCATGTTCAATTATAAACCTTTTCAGATGGGTAGACTTTGAGCTCTTTTGAGTCCTTTAGTCAACTTTAACAAATTATCAACCAAGCACATTGACTTTTTTTTTTTTTTTTTGCAAAGTACACTAGTTTGTACTCTAGCTTACTTATTATAGCTTACTGTGTGCATGGTCATGACTGCACTGGAATGGGGAATCTAAAATGTCTAAAATATTTTAGATTATGGCTATCTGATCTTTTTCTGCTCTGATAATGCTGAAAATATGCTGCTAGAAATTCTAAAAATATTTCTTGATTATATTCACAAAATATTTATTTTCTTAGCAATATGTATAAAATAAAATAAAATAAAGCAGTATAGTAAACATTAAGAAGTGTAAGTACATTTAACTCTGGTGAGACACTTAGCCAGGACACTGAGAAAAGAATGACAATGAAGAGGTTGCTTTGTAATAGGGATGCCTAAATTTGTTCCTGGAGGGCTACTGCAGACTTTACCTCTAATCCAAAGTAAACACAAATACACATGGAAGCAAGGTCTGGAGACTTACAAAAACTGTCCAGAAACTGTGTTTGAACTTGTTGGAACAAAACAGGACAGGACAGTGGTTTTCTTGTTAGATATAATTACTTTATGTTGTTAAAAACTATACTTTGAAGTTTTTATGTATTTACTCTTTCGAACAGTTTTTAGACATGTGGTGGTGACACAGACACATTTATCCATAAGGTAAGGTAAAGGTAAGGTAAAACTTTATTGTCCCAGTTAGGGAAATTTGTTTTGGGCTCTTGCCCTCAGCTGCAGTCATCACAAACATGGACAAAACAATAAACAGTTTACAAAAGTTACAAGCCTCACTCTATATACACATAAATAAGCAAACTGATACTCTCAATCTAAGCCACCACTATTATTTAATAGCTTAATGCTTGTAGGATAAAAATAATTTTTTAATAAAATGTTTTTATTTTTATTCACTGCATTTGTGTTTCAGTGCTTAAAGTAATTTAAAATAAGCCAGTAACACAGAGAGTGTGCGTTTTCTCTGCGAAAGTCTTCAACAAAGACTAAAGAATGAGCTTGAAAAGAATAGTAAACTCAAGCAAAAATAAGAGATTAAAGACATGAAAGCTGTTTTTGCACTACAAACTATAAATTAAGATGACAGTCAAGTAAAATTATGTAAATCTATGCCTAGTTTAAAACTAATATTTCCCTCTCTAGGAACTTTAAAGGAACTGCGGCAGTTTTAGATCAAATTTTGCACTTGGAAAAGCAAATGACACACTGTACTCCACTGCACAGTTAGAACATTCAGATAACAACTCAACTGATTAGAAGTTATAAATACTACAACCCCATTCAGAAAAAAATGGAACAGAATGGAACACGCAAATACAGAAAAAAGGAGTGATTTCCAAGTTTACTTTGACTTCTATTGCATTGCAGACAAAATGAACAAAATATTTCATGTTTTGTCTGTTCAACTGCATTTCATGGTGATGCGATGGTGCAATTGGTATTGCTGTCGCCTCACAGCAAGAAGGTTGCTGGTTCAAACCTTGGCTGGGTCCGTTAGCATTTCTGTGTGGAGTTCTCATGTTCTCCCTGTGTGTGCGTGGGTTTCCCCCAGGTGCTCTGGTTTCCCCCCCACAGTACAAAGACATGCGGTTTAGGTGAATTGGGTAGGTTAAAATGTCCGTAGTGTATGAGTGTAAATGAGTGTGTATGGATGTTTCCCAGAGATGGGTTGCAGCTGCAAGGGCATCCACTGTGTAAAACATATGTTGGATAAGTTGGCGGTTCATTCCACTGTGGTGAGCTCAGAGTAATAAATGGACTTATCCGAAAAGAAAGTGAATGAATGAATGAACTGCATTTCTTTTGGAAATATACCCAGCTAACAGGGAACGTTCCCAGAACATTCACTAACGTTCTTTAAAAGTTGTGGAAATGTTAACACAAAAGTTATCAATAGAACGTTTTTAGAAGGGTGTCATAACTTGTTAACGTTCTTGTAACGTTGTAAAAAAACGTTCTTAGAACAAAGTTCTTATGAAGTTATTTGTACTTCATAAACGTTGTCATAATGTTGATCCAAAACGTTCTTAGAACGTTTTATTTTGGTGGAAATTTAGGTTTTTTAAATGTTGTAACAACATTATCCTAACCATAAAAAACGTTATATCAACATTAAGCAAACTGGACAATTCAACGTTCTTGGAATATTCCAAATAAACATTCTTAGAACGTTATATTTTGGTGGAAATTTAGGTTTTAGGAACGTTGTAACAACGTTATCCTAACCATCAAAAAACATTCTAGCAACATTAAACAAACTGGACATTTTAACGTTCTTGGAACATTCCAAATAAACGTTCTTAGAACGTTATATTTTGGTGGAAATTTTGGTTTTAAAAACGTTGTAACAATGTTATCCTAAACATAAAAAAACGTTCCAGCAACATAAAGCAAACTGGACATTTCAACATTCTTGGAACGTTACAGATAACGTTATGAGAACGTTCTTACAACCTAAATTTGTTAGCTGCGTACATCCTTTTCTGTCATTTAGACCTGCAACACATTCCAAAAAGGTTGGGACAGGAGCAGTTTGGGGCTAGTAATCTGGTTAAATAATGATCTGATTTTAAACAGGTGATGTCAACAGGTGATTGTAATTATGATTTGGTATAAAAAACACCATCCAAGAAAAGTCTAGTATTGGGAGCAAAGATGGGCCAAGTACCATCAGTTTGCCAATAAGAGATATATGAGACAATTATTAAAATGTTTAAAAACAATGTTCCTCAAAGAAAGTGGCATTTGGATATTTTACCCTCAATGGTGCATAACATAATTAAAATATTCAAGAAATCTGGAGGAATTTCATTGCGTAAAGGACAAGTAAGTAAGCCTAAGCTGAACTACTGCGATCTCTGATCGCTCAGGCATCACTGCATCGAGAATCATCATTCATCTACAAGTGATATCACCACATAGGCTTAGGACTACTTTGGCAAACCTGTGTCTTTTACCACAACACGAAGTTAAATCCACAAATGGCAGTTAAATCTGTACTATGTTAACAGTGTTCAGAAGCACCATCGACTTCTCTGTTATCAGAGGATTTGGGATGGACCATCACACAGTGAAACAAGTACTGTGGTCAGATGTATTAGTATTTTATGTATTTGTTTGGGAGAAATGGACGCCATGGGCTCTGGACCACAGAACAAAAGGATCATCCAGACTGTTACCAGCAATAGGTCTTAAAGCTAGGGTCTGTTTATTGTCAGTAAATTATTAACAAAAATTGTCATCGAGTAAGAAATAGGTAAAGCATTTACGGTGGCATACTGTATAGGAATGTTCAACAAATATGAGGATGCAGTTTTCTTCTGTAGCCAATGTCACAGTACAAAAACCAAAGACCTGCACAGCTCACCATGTTGATCATCTGTCTTTTTCTTTGGTGTTTCTGAGGTGACTTCATCTGCATGAGCAAACGTGTGTTTGTGGCCCATGGCCTGAATAAAAGTCTTTACAAATTTTACACTTTGCTAGAGATTTATGCGGTCAGTAAAGTGGAACATAAGATGGTGGAGCTGGGCAACAAATGAATCTGTGATAATGGCATAAAAGTTGTAGTCTGGGAGGTTTAAATTAGATACAGTGACATCAAGAGTGAGAAGACAGAATTAGGTTTGCGACGATTGAGTGGAGGCATTGCCACTTTACCCCTGTACGCAGAACCCAAAATAACTGGTTCATAGAGTTTTGTAAAATTTAAAACTAGAAAAAAAAAAAGTTTTTTTTTTTTTTTTTTTACAGATGTGAAAATGCTCAGTGGGGTCCCAACATCTTGACCTAAGAACTACTTGATTCCACTGGAATGTGCAATTTTAACAAATTACTCAAAATGGATCCAAACTGTGGCTGATCTTTAAAAGAATTTGATTTACTCTTGAAGAATCTCAGTTTGATTTATGAGTGTGTTTATACAGACTATTTTTATGTGGTTTTCATTTCAATAGCAAATACCCTTAATTTTTAATGGTAACTACAAAAACAGTGCTGGTTTATCAATAATAGTTTTGATACAACAGCTGTTAAAAAACTTACCTGAGACAAAGGTTCTGCTTTCGTGTTGTCCATTCCTCCAACAATGATCATGTTGGGCATTAATGGATGAGGAAATTCCAAAGCAAAGTCAGAATGCACAAACCAGAGAGCTGCATGGCTCATAATGTCCATTATAGATGTTTTTCTCTGAAGAACACGTGAAGCGATTTCATCTGCACGAGTGAACATCCGTCTGCAGGCCATGGGCTGAATAAGAGTCCTTATAAAGTTTACACTTCTTTGCCAAAGATTCATGCGGTCAGAAAAGTGAGTTAAGATATGTGGAACATAAGACGGTGGAGATGGGCATTGACTGGCAAGAGTGTCAACATTACAAGGATGACTTGTCTGTATGTAAATGGCTGGAACTGAGAGATATTCTGCAGCAATGACTCCAACAAGCTCAAATGGATCTGTGAGAATGACATCAAAGTTGTAGTCTTGCAGTTTCTTTATCAAGTCTTTGTTGGAGAGGAAACCCTCAGCACTGCGGATTATAATATTACTAAGCGAATTCATTCTGTTGATGAAACTCTGAAACCTGGGCAGATCTGTAGATACATAAGTACTTATCAGAGTTGTAACACCGGCTTTCACAATCTCCTGTATCTGAGCTTTGGTGTAGGACACAGGATAAGACAGAGTTGTGGTGTGCTGAGACGGACCCATGCTCAGACTTGCTTCTGGGATGACGACCACCACTTGGTTTCCTCTACGGCCAAGCTCCTCCACCAAAGGCTTCATACCTGTCCAGTGACTGCCATCCGAAGGAACAACTAAAATATTCCCAGCTTCTGCTGTTGCCAGGCAGAAAAGATACAAGAGCAACACAAAAGCAGCCATTCTAACCTACTGTATCTAATCCTGTTATTCAAAATTACTAAATATCATAATCAAATGAACAGGTAGTACTTGTAAGATGACTGTTTTAAAAGTCTGCAAGCACTTGTAAGTTTGCAGTTTCTGGCACAGGCTTTTATAGTAAAAGGGGAGTTTCAACAACCAATCAAAGGTTGAGTCTGAAATGATACAGTCTTCATTTAGCATTGAACCACGGCCATAGTTTCAGAGAAATAAAAAAAAAATCCTCAAATCAATAAAACCATGGCATGTAAGTCTTGAAATTTGGGGCTACAGTATGCATGCTGAAACTAAATATGCTTGGTACCATGCATGCAGACAATGAATTATGAGACAAACAGAGCATGTCAGACAGAGAAGAGTGTGAGTTCTGCATACATAAGACGTCTACATATTTTAAACCCTTTTTAGATTTATAAGGTTTTAACCTTTAAAACATTTCCCTTTTTTTTCCTCACCAAATGCTCATCCGTGTAGCCTGTATGACTGATACATAAAGTTGTGTGTGTTTTTTTTTACATTTACAAGTGTTTATAAAACTATTTTAAAAAAACTTCCAGAAAATGGGTTAGACTTTGAGCTTTTTGAGTCCTTAAGTCAACTCCACTAAACAAATAAATGCTTCAACATTTTCAAGCATTTTGACATGGCTGCACTAGAGTAGGGAATTAGACTATCCAAAATCTTCTAAATCACAGTGTTCTGACAAAAGGCACAATGCTCTAAGAGCACACACAAGATACTAGATATTTGCTAAAACTACTTGTATAAATTAATCTTAATCATTTTATGAACATGAGTATCTGATATTTCTTGGTTACAGCAATAAGTAAAAAAAAAGTGATAATAATAATAATAAGATTATAGTTTTAGCAGTATGGTAGTTGGATATTAATTAAAATTAAACTGTTGAACTGCTAAACTTACAAGATTAAAGCATCAATAAAATAAATTGTTAAAAAAAAAAAAACTGTATTTAATAAAACTAAGAAATATAAGTGTATTTAACGTCTGCTTAGATCTACTTAGCCAGGACACTAATAAAATACCAACAAGTGATTATTTTATAATAGGGATATAACCTTGCTAAAGACAATGAAATTCAAGTCAAGGAAATAAAAACTATGCCTAGCTCGAAAGTAATACATAGAGTTCCCTCTCTAGGAACTTTAAGGGAAATGCAGCAGTTTTAGAATGAATTTGCACATGGAAACGCTAACACTGTACTCCACTGCACAGTTAGAGCATTATCAACTGAACTGGGGCCTGTTTCAGAAAGCAGGTTAAGTTAAAACTCAGAGTAGTTTAACCCTGAAATGAGAGAAACTCTGGGTTTTCCGTTTCAAAATGGCAGGTTTGTTAAACTCGAGAAATCAGGGTAAGTCAAGCCTGTTTCTAAAAGAGAGGTAACTTTAACTCAGAGTCAGTTACCGTGGTAACTTACTCTGTGAATCTAACCTGGTCCGGAGCAGGTTTTATTCTCTAAACTCAGAGTTTCTGTCGGTCTCCTCCCCTTTTTAAAGATGAAGCGGTATTTCTCGCATTAGTCATACATTTCCACACACCTATTTTAGAGCTCATTTTGGAGATGTGCATAAAAAGATTGATGAAAACATAACTTTTGAAAATACGCATAATATAACATGTGCATAACCGAGTAGGTTAAACTTTTATTTGATAAGATGCACATAAACTACGAAGTGCACTTAACAAATTACAGTATGAACATTAAAAAAAGGTTTGTTAAATGTGTGTGAAAGGACAAACCAGCAGACTGAGCACACTGCAGAACATCTTAAATGTTGTTTTAGTCATTCTAAAATGCCTTAACTGTTTCAGTATTAGTGTATATTATTAATGACCTCCGAGCGTCTGGAGCGTGTCAAGATCTGCGCGTCTGGCTTCAAAAGCCCCCACGTGTTCATTGTGTGTCAATTGTCTTCTGAGGCGCAAGTACATAAATAAAAAATCATTGACGCAGCTCCTTCTACCTCAGTAATTCTGTTTTTACAGTTGATATTTGGCGCAAGTTAATCAGGAAGTGACGATTGTGTTCTCTTCGACTCTTTGGATAAGAACGCTGCTTTATTTTATTCCAGTGTTGCACAAATTTATGTAATGTTGATGGAAGCTATTGCCTACATTTTTGTCACACACAGAACAAAGTCACGCACGAGGCTTGTCCTTTTTTTCATAAATAATTAGCTTAACCTTCGACATGTACTGTTAGAGATTAATGGGATTATTATTCTGTCTAAAAATAATTTTATTACTGCTTACCTTCTTAATGTTATATCAACCTCTATCACTTGATCAATAAATAGGCAAACACATAACAAGTGCACTGTTAAATCTATTAAAACTGATAAAAGTGTATAAAAGTTTTAAAAAAAAGTATAAACGTCACACATTACATTACTTATTTTATTATACTTAAATGTTTAAATACTTAAAATTAAAAATTACACATTAACTTGAGCAGCTGTTTTCCCACGCTGTCTCTGTTTCACTGATGGCTGCTTCTTATTAAATATACGCTCATATTTGCTATAACTTTGCATGAGCAGATCAAATTCAGCTGGAGAAAGAAATGCTGATCTCTTTTTTTAAGATGTTGCCATAGTCACTCGTAATATCTGCGCTCTATTGATAATGCCTTTTTATAGTCACGGTGCGCGCGCTTAACTCTGAGTTGGTCTACTCAAAGTTGATTGACCCAACTCAGATCAGCTGTTCTGAAACCGAAAACTCAGAGTTTTTTATCTCTCGGTAAATCAACTCAGAGTTCAAGTTTAAACTCTGAGTTGTTTAAACCTCCTTACTGAAACAGGCCCCTGATTAAAAGGACTAATAAATAAACATTTGTTTATGCAGGCATAATAATGTTCAACACAAAAAAATAATACACTTTTACGATAAAATGAGCATTACAAAAAATCAGAATAGTAATATATAAATGCTATGATATGTATATTTAATGAATATTTTTTTTATCACGGGGATACATTTCTTTGGAAACTACATTCAATAGGAAAACAGTTATATAAAAATATAATATTTTACAGTTTCCTGTATTTAAAAAAAAATAAAATTAAATGCAGCCTTTGTGAGCAGAATAAAGTTATTAATATAAAACATTCCAAATTCTTGACTGGTAGTGTACATAAACAACAAAACTTTATGACTCTACATACTAAAATAGAAGGTAAAATGAATTCCACATACTATTGAAATTAGGTTGGTTAGCTGTATCTACTCAAAGTTGGTGAACTGGTTTGCTTCTTACTTCGAGGCAATCAACTTTTGACTTCAACAGTTTAGCTGAAGAAATAATTTAAGTAGATTTTTAGCAGCTAATTTCTGGGTATCACAAAAACAAGGGAAAGATCCAAGTGCAGCAAAACACATTTATTGCCAAACAATAAAGATCCAAAAAAATGACAAAGGGACAGGCAAGGTAGCAAAATCAGTGAAAACATGAAGTGCAAAAATGAAGTGAATGAAACAAACTAAATAGGTATCCAAAAACATTGTAAAAATACTAAACAAAGTGAACAAACAAACAAATACCAAACCAAACCACGATGAACTAGATCACGAATAAAACACGACAGACCTAAACAGAACATTGAAAATCCAAAGGCAAACTAAATACAAAACAGGGCTTATAAAGACAGAACTAATTAGACAATGAGGGAAATCTGGAAACAAGGAGTGATCACATGACTAGGACACAAGACACAAAAACCAAAACAAAAACTGGTGCCCTTAAAAACCAGCAGAGGGCACTGCAGCAGGTGTGACACACTGTGCAATGCATCCCTATTTGTAAAGTAGCTTACATGTGTTTAAGTTGTTTAAAGCAAAACAGAGCAGCAGTTAATAATCAAATAAAGTTTATTTATGGCTAGAAATTTACTTTAAATGTATACAGTTGAATTATTAGCCGACCTGTTTATTTTTTCCCCAATTTCTGTTTAATGGAGAGAAGATTTTTAAACACATCTCTAAACATAATAGTTTTAATAACTCATTTCTAATAACTGATTTATTTTATGTTTGCCATGATGAATAATATTTTACTAGATGTTTTTGAAGACACTTCAAATACAGTTTAAAGTGACATTTAAAGACTTAACTAGGGTAATTAGGTTAACTAGGCAGGATAGGGTAATCAGGCAAGTTATGGTATAATGATGGTTTGTTCTGTAGAATATCGAAAATATATATAGCTTAGACGGGCTAATAATTTTGTCCTTAAAATGGTTTTTAAAACATCAAAAACTGTTTTATCCTAGCCGAATGACACATGGAGGTGACACTGACACATTTATCCATAATGGCCTTCCACTTCATTGACGGCATTTGAGTTGAATGCTCAAAGTAACTTATAATTCCAATACCTCAAACAAAAATATGAGATTAAAGATATAGATGCCGTTTTTGATTTTGCAATAAGCTATAGAAATTGGGATGCAAGTCAAGTAATTTTGGAAAACTATACCTGGCTCAAAACTAATAATGAGAGTTCCCTCTCTAGGAGCTTTAAAAAGTTGCATCAGTTTAGAATGAATTTGCACATGGAAAAGCAAATAACACACAGTACTCACTGCACAGTTAGAGCAATGTGAGTGAGAAATGAGTGATGCATTTATGGATGCACTTACTGAATAAGAATGTTCATGAGGATTACAGAGATTTTAACAAAATCACACTGGGACATTAAGCAGTGTTGTGAAATGATAGTTATTAGAAAGACTTACTTGAGACAAAGGTTCTGGTTTCTTGGTGTCCACTCCTCCAATAACGACCATGTTCGGCATCACTGGACGAGGAAATTCAAAGGCAAAGTCAAAATGCATGAACCAGAGAGCTGCACGGCTCATGATCTCCATCACTGATGTCTTTTTCTGCAGCACCTGTGAGGCGATTTCATCTGCATGAGCAAACATGCGGCTGCAAGCCACTGGCTGAACAAGAGTCCTTACAAAGTTTACACTTCTTTGCCAGAGAT